CAGCCCTCATCACAGCACACTGCAGGGGGAGGCTGGTTGGAGGCCCAGCCCTCATCACAGCACACTGCAGGGGGAGGTCAGCCCTCATCACAGCACACTGCAGGGGGGAGGCTGGTTGGAGGCCCAGCCCTCATCACAGCACACTGTAGGGGGAGGCTCAGCACAACGCTCACCTTCCTCTTTTTGACCACTTTGCTTGAACTGTCTGAGCTCCTCTTCTCAGAATCATGCTTCTTCCCAGCCGGGGGCTCTTTGTCTTCGGGCTTCTTCTGGCGGCACCCCTTCCCAGGTGGCTCGGGTATCCGGGACAGAAGGTCTAGTCTTATCCTCACCATCAAGCTTTTTGGGGGAGGAGGGTCCCTGAGGGGTGAGAGCAACTTGGTCTCTCTCAAAGGCAACGGGAGTTTGTCCTTCCAGCAGTCCTCCTGGACAACCACCGCTTGTCGGCAGCCACTAGTCCTGCTGCCTCGGCTGCTGTGCAGTGGGCCCTGGCTCTGACCCAGGGGGACGAGAGCTAGGTGCTCAGGGCTCCTGCCCTCCACATTGTCCTTCGAGGGTTTGGAGCCTGAGAGTGGCTTGGCGGGGGTGGGGGGCTGCTCTTGTGCTTCTTCCTTTCGTTGGGGGTGGGCACAGTGGGCTTGGGCTCTCTGCTCTCGCCTGTGTGGGGCCTTCCTTTCGTCTTCACTTTGGGCTTGTCTTTGGAAGTCTGTTCTTTGGAGCCATAAGGGAGGAGTCCTGGCTCACTCTCCACCTGGACACTGGCCTGCGAGTCAGCCTGGGTAGCGGCCTTGACAGGTTTTTTGGGTTGCTTGGTTCCGACGGTTTGCCTCTGTGGAGGCTCCTGGGGTGCAGGAGACTTGTGGCAGCGCCTCCTGCCAGGGTGGACGCCTTCCGAGGGGGCCCGCGGGGCTTTGCTGGAGCTCCTGGGTGCGGGGTCTTTGGATTCAGCAGGTTCCGGAGGAGCGGCACTGCTGCTGGCACCGCGGCCCTGGCCCTTGCTGTCCTGGTGCCCACGTGGGGACTCTGTGCTCCCCACACCCTCCGGGGGCACGACGGGTTGGCTGACTTTGGTTAGCCAGTTATCCAGCTGCCATTTATTTGTTGTTGTAGGAGGCTCAGGCTAAAAAGAAAGGAAAAGAAAGCATGTTAATCAATGGCTGATAAACTATCCTTTAGTACTTAGCCTTAATTTAATGAAATTGTACTGGACTGTCCTGGGGCAGCAAGCATTTCAAATCTAAGAACAAAGGCCCTATTTATGTTCCCACAACTATAGATCAGCAGATCTTGGGTAAGGGAGGTCTGGTAGCCTAGTGGTAAAAAGCTGAGTTGACAAACCAAAAGCAAGGGGTTCCAATCCATTAGCTGCTCTGCTGGAGAAAGAGGGGCTATCTTGTCCAGTGCATTTTACAGGCTCAGGAAACCAACTGGGGGGTCAGCTATGAGTCAGTTTTGACTCAACTACACATAACAAAATCAGTCCTTTTGTAAGCAGCCCTTGCAACTAAAAAGTTGGTGGTTTAGATCTACCAAGGGCTGCCTCTGAAAACCAGTGGTGCATCATTACGAGTCAGAAGAGACCCAGAAGAACTAGAGATGTTTGTCCTTCTGTGGTGCAGACGGTTAACAAACTAGGCTGTTAAAGGAAAATGGATATTTGAGTCTCCTCAGAGAAACCTGACAAGAAAAGTCTGATGATTTGCCTCCCCAAAAATCAGCCACTGAAAACTCTACAAAAAGTAAGCTGTACATCAATACAGACAAGGTTGCACCATTGGACTCATGGCATACAGGTGAATATACGTCAAATTCTATGACAAGGAACTTCTTAAAAGCCTTAAAAATTATTTGTAATATTGCAATTTGGTGGCATCCAGGCAATAGTCTTCATAATTACTTGCTAAGTATCAGAGAGGTGGACAAATCCAGAAGAAGAGTCAACACCTTTGAGTTGTGGTGCTGGACAAGAGTACTGAACATGCCACAGACTTGCAGGAGAACAAAGAGGTCTCTTCTGGAGAGAATGAAACCAAGTTCCAAAGATTTTGAAGCTCCATTTGGCATGTTGTCAAAAGGGACCAGTTGTAAGGACATTATCATTGGAATCATGGAGGGAGGGACAGCACAGGAGAAGACGACCCCAGATGAGATGGATTGACACAGTGACTGGGGTAATGGGGGTACCTGTGGCAGAGTCAGTGAGACTAGCTCAGGACAGGGAAAGGTTCAGAGCTGCTGTACACAGGTTCGCTATGAGTTATAGTCAACTCGACAGCACATACCAATAGACAATAATTACCAATAGTAAACTAATGACAAATATTTAGAAACTTTATAATAAAAATATTTTTATCAGATTAGAACATAATTTAAGCCAAAATGACATGTATTTTGGAATATTTAACTATCATAGTAGAAAATATGGAGGGGAAAATTAAGAATAAAAAGAATCTTGGTATATTCCTTGGACAGGGATATCATGCTTGGAAAGGTGGAGGGTCAACAAAAGACATGAAGACCCTCAAGCAGATGGACTGACACAGTATGACTGCAGCAATGGGGTCATGTGTGTCAGGGATGAGGAGGGTGGTACAAGAGAGGTCAGGGTTCAGATCTGTGGTTCATAAGGTCACTATAAGCTGTACTTGATTCCACGGCACCTACCACCACCACCACCACTGAACAAGCAGGTATTAGTAATAATACATACTTTCTCCTTTGAGACATTTTCCTATTGAAAAGAACTTTTCTTTAAGTGGAGGTAGGACCTGATTTTGTTCTTTACTTACACATGCAATACTTACACAATTTACTTACACATGTAACAGGTTTATCAGAAACAATCAAGTGAGGTCACACTAGAATACAGTACTAGTCATCCACTGGATTCTATATAGTATGAACAAGTATCAAACACATTTTCTTGTTAAAGACAACCTATGTTGAGTTGGACCCTATATAAACAGAGGCTCTAGGGAACTAGTTAAAGCAGTAAGATTATACTGATTATCTGCACAACTGCTTTGGCAAGTAAAAGTTCCTGACTGCTACCATTAACTGTTATTAAAATCTTTGTTGCTAATTAACCACTTGTGCATCTAACCACATCTCTCTTATAATAGGCTGTGAGCTTTTATTGACGGAATGATAGAGAACTTTGCACCTCCAAGTTCCACAATAGTGCTTTACCTATAGTGAATAAATGAGTATTCCAAAACGTGTATGTGCTTATAAATTCTATGGAACATAGAACAAATGTGCATAAGTAATGGTCCTGTATTTTAAAAGGCAGTATATCATTGTCATGCTATATGTCTTCGTTAAGTGCCTTCTTGTCAAGTGGTTTGTATGACTGACAAAAATCATAGATATTGGACTGGGACGGTACTGAAACATACGAGGTTTTAATTGCTTGGAATATGGATAAGAGATTACAACAGTGAGTGGTCAATTTTCCCAAATGGAATACATTCAACTTAGTTGTTGTTAGATGCTATCCAGTCAGGTACAATTCACAGAGATCCTATAAACAGCTGACCTGAACCCTGCCCTATCCTGTGCCATCATCATTATCTCTGACACACTAGAGCACATTGCTGAAATCACCATGTCAACCCATCTCATTGGAAGCCTTCTCCTTTGCTGACTCTCCATCTTTCCAAGCATGATGTCCCTTTTCAAGGAACAGCCTCACTTAACTCTGTCCAAAGTATGAAAGATTAAGATTCACTATCTTCACTTTCAAGGAGCACTCTGGCTCCCTTTTTTCAATCATATCTATTTGTTCTTTTGGCAGTCCATGCAATATTGAGAACTTTTCACCACCACCACAATTCAAAGGCATCAATTCTTCTGTTATCCTTATTCGTTGTCCAGATCTCTGATGCATATTAGGTGATTGAGAAGACTATGGCCTCAATCAGGTCACCTTAGTCTTTAAACTGACATTTTCTTCAGCATTTTGGTGAGGTCCCTGACAGCCAACTTGCCCAATGCAATCCATCTCCTGATTTCATTCAAGTGTCTAAATCTCTGAAAGGTTGCACCATGCTTAGGGTCTTGGGAGACAGAATCAGCTGAATGCAGTCTCCGGCTTCTTGAGGAGTGGCAGGTATGAGGGCTCTGGCCACTTGTGTTCTTTTTGCCCCACATGGGGGTTGGCAGAGTGGACTTGCCAGATGAACTGGGGGTCTGGGGCCCAGAGTTTGCCAGCATTTGGGCGTGCCGGGATGGTAAGACTCTGAAGGGCCCTTGGGCCTGCAGCCCTCAGACCTGTCTCTCATTGTTTTTGTTCAGACATTTCTCTAGGTCATATAGCCCTGGTGTACAAGTTGCCATACAGTGGTCACTTGTGGTTGCTGTGAGGCTGAACACTGTGACACAGATGTGTCAAATGCGTTAATGGTTGGCTACCCAATATGGACAGAGAGTGGGGTGGGGCTCCCCGATTAAAACAAGCTTGGAAGGAGGAATGGCACCCACTTCCCTAACAACTTGCCTCCGGAAACCCTATGAACCAGGAGAGAGAATGAAAGATACTCAAGTGTTGAGTCTAAATAATTCTATAAAAGCATGCAAACTGAACACTTGTAAAGTATAGACATGATGAAAAGGACTTTTTTTTTTTGGTCAGGATAAGGTGAAATATGGCTGATTGGCAGCATTATGATAGATGGTGAAGAGATTGAGATTGTTAACAGCTTTAGTTTGCTTGGCTTCACAATCAAACTTTTGGTACCAGTGGCTGGGAAATCAAAAGATGAATTGTACTGGGAAAGTCTGCAGTCAGGGACCTCTCTCCAGAGTGCTGAAGAGCAATGATGCCAGTTTGGAGACATAGGTGTGCCTGATCCAGGCCACGGTCTTTGCAATTGCTTGTTATCTGTCAGAAAGCTGGATAATGACTAGGGATGATAGAAAGATAATACGGAGCTATGGTGCTGGAGAAGAGTATTGAATATACCATGGACTAACAAGAGAACAAACAGGTTTGATCCAGAGAGGTTGAAACTAGGCTGCTCCTTGGAGGCAAAGATTCTGAAGCTTCATCTGACAAATTTGGGCATGTTGCAAGTAGGGACTAGTCCTTGGAAAGAGACATCATGCTTGGGTGGAGGGACAGCTCATGACAGAAAGACCCTCAATGAAGTGGACTGATTCAGCGACTGGGGTTATGAGGGTAGATGTGTCGGAGCCAATAAGGTTGGCACAGGATAGAACAGGTTTCACGGCTGTTGTACATGGGGTTGCTATGAGTCACAAGCAACTAGATGGAACATAACAACAACAAGAACAAGGTGAGATAACAAAATGATGAGCTAGGTTCTGAGTTCAAAACCAAAGAACTAGAAGAAACCAGGTGGGACCATACTGCATCCAGAAAGATGGCAATACTATTCTTTTCCTACTTATCCCACACTGCTGTTTATTACTACATTCTCCTTTTAAAAGCTTGCTTTGCTTAAATCAACTCTATTGACATGGTCATATCTGAATGTCAGGGCATGCAGGGAGGGTGAGATAGAGGTGGAAAAAGAAAATGACTGCTGGGTGCCAGGCATTTTGTCCTAAGTGATCAAAAACTGTGGTCGTTCCTCTAACTAGACATGGTGGCTGTTAAAGGCAGAGAAAAGATTAGCACACCATACCTGCTCATCAAACATTATTTTCCGCAAAGATTTGAGGATGTGGCAACCCCAGTTAGCTGACTGGGGAAGGCAGTAAGATACATGGCTTGCCGGTTATGTCAGGAAACTGAAGCTCTGACCCTTCTACAGACAAGCTGGGGATCTATTTCATTCACAGGCTCTGTTTACAAATATACCTCAATCACTGGCACGCTCTTTGGAAGACTATTCGTGACACCCCTGCTCTCCCAAAAAGGAAAAAAAAAAGCCATTTCTAGTATAAATAACATCTGCTTTCTGTCTACCTGAAACAGGGCAGTGTAAGATACAGTTAGTAGTCCCTAAAGGAATGCCCTGGTTTCAGAAATAAAATGTATTTTCTTCCACTGTGGTCCTAGAAATTGTCCAGAAGAGAGGTGCATGGCCTAATTAAGGGGTGAAATTGAGTTGGTGTGCTCAGAAAAAGAAAAGGGGTAGAAAATCCATCCTCTTTTGTACTCAAGTGGCAAATATAGTTGCAAAATGAGGATTATTCCTTCAAGGTCAGATATTATTTGGGGGTTCTAAGATTATAAGGGGCAAATTAAAAACAGATTTTAAAATAAATAAATTTTAAGTATATTCATTATTGGCCACAGTCAGGGCTTGAGTTTTCATCTCCTCAACTACCTTTCTCAGTCTTTGTCCTCCCATGTATGTAAATGAAATACTGAGATATGAAAGGGGGAAAAAGCGTATGATTAACTTCTATTAATAAATATTTGACCATATGTCCCTTTACATCCCTAACGTCTCAACTCGGCAAAAGTTAATGTATTTTAGAATGACTACAGTATTGAATAAGAGGTTGTGAGCCACACTGTAACTCACTGGCAGATCAATGGAGTAGAAAAAGATGAAGGGGAAAAAAATAAAGTATCAGAGAGAACATGCCCCAGTGCTAAATGGCTCTATGTCTGAATTCTAGGTCTGGTACTTCTTTATAAAGAAAAAGAAGGCTATCAACTTTGGAGTTGACTATGGTTAATGGAAGATCACATAAAATAATTTATGAGTAATCATTGAGAGCATAATGGTCAATCAATGACAGGTAGTTTACTATCACAAGAGGAACAATGAACAGATTAGGAAATGGAGCAGATGCTGAATAACTGAAAATAGAATCATGTTTTTCGATCTTTGGCAGTGAAAAGGCAATGTTTGTACAAGTCATCTTCCAGTTACAAACAAGGCCTGTTCCTGACCATGTCTTTAAGTAGAATTTATAACTCAGTTGGAACAGGTGCTTACAGTTCTTATTTTAACCTTAAGTTCACGCAAAGAAGAGAGCAAAGCCTTTTCTGTGATTTAAGAGGTGCACGAGCAGTATGTGAATGTGATCTAGGGCAGAATTGCACCAAGAAGGGGTTAGCTCAATTGTTTCAAAGAGAGCAAATTTACGTTAAGGGCAAGTACGATTTGTCAGTAAGTAGGATCTGGGAGCTCAGACACTGCCTGCATTTTGAAAAGCTAACATTCATGTTTTTGATTCACTATAAAGCAGACACTGAAATAGAATCCACAGTGGTTGGTACTAAAGTCCTGCCCTGGTTTACTAGCATGTATGTACTATAAGCTCATATTGCAAGAGATTGATTTGGACCATTTCATCAATTGTGATTACTTGAAAATAAAACCATAGAGGCCCCCAATAATGAAAAAGAACTTTAAAAAGGGGGGGGTGAGAAAGATAAAACTATGGCCTACTGCAGCATTCAAGTTACTTTCAACTAGCACAGGGGATTAACCATAATGCATATATATTTCAAATAGTGAGGGAAAATAGTTAAATATTGTTGGAGAGGTTTTGTATATAAGCAAAGAGAAAATATTCCTGGGAAAAGTGAATCTTAGTCAATAATATACATAATACACCAAGCCTACATTTGTATATAACTAGTCTTGTACAAAATAAAAGCCTCTATAGTAAAGCAACTTAGAAAAGAATAATACAGAATGGTAATATTTCTTTAAGCAGTCTTTACATGCCAGTAACCTCTTGAGCAACAAGGTGTGTTCTTTTATGTTTCAAATATCTGCACCACTTCTATTTTATTTAAAGTAAATATTAACTGAATTATCTTCCACATATTAAGAAATCTGGCAAGTGTACAAATTTCCTTATTGAATAAATGAAATGAAGAAAAAAAAACCAAAAATAAAAACACACAACAAAAAACCAACTAAAAAATTTTAAATGTGAACAATCATGTAATTTGTCTTCATAGCCTAATTAATATTCTTTTTCTGTAGGCATAGAAATATTAAATGTCATAACAATAGTTCAAATGTTTTAAAACAGCACCAAATGCAGTTAATGTTAGTCTATGCTCATTCATGCCAACAAACATGAAGCATTTATTCTGTGCCAGTCATAGAAAACAAAAAATGGCACCAAATTTATTTTCCCAGCTTCTTCTGCTTTCAGGGCATTACGTTGTTTTTGTTGTTAGGTACCATGGAGTTAGAACCAACTCACAGCTGACCCTCCAGTGAGTTTGCAAAGACAATAAATTGCAGGGGAGGAGATTACACATTTTTCTCCTGCAGAGTCACTAGTGGATTTGAACCCTGGGCCTTTAGGTTGGAGCACAACTCCTTACCACTCATTAAACCTTACAGAAACTCATATGTCTCACTGCATGATTGCTTGATGTATCCTATTAGAGTTCTAATGGGATTGCTTTGCTTTCTGAATAACAGAGACTAATGCAGGAAACATTAATGCTTTCTAAATCATACAGCTTTACTTCCTGGCAATTTCCATTTCAAATATGCAGAATAAATTTTTATTTAAAAGGTGGTGTAGTGCAGCAAAAATAAGATGTCTTCCAGAACAACCTTTTATGTTTAAGTATTCTGACCTGGCACTATTTTCACACTGTTACTCCAAGTTTTGTTTGTTCTTGCTAACAACTCAGTGTGCAATCTAGTAAGTAGCATAAATCCTCTAGATAAATGTCGCATTGACATTTTCAGCCCCATCTGTTTACTCATGTTTTCATTATTTTCTCAAGGGTGAGTGTCAGGCAAACACGATTCTGCCCACTTTACATGGGGCAAAAGGAGCAAGAAAGACAGCGCTGGCAAAATCACTCTACCATCAGTGTAATACATGGCTTTCAGTAATTCAAAAATAGAACCCCTGATGACTTTATTTCTAGTTCATGTTCCTGCCTTTTGCTAAATAAAGCTGACTCCTTTTGATTTCCTTAATTCATGCATTCCTAAAGCTTCCAAAAAGAATCCTCATTAATATTAAAACATCAGCCTACTGAAAACAAGTTTTCTTTCTCAAAAGAAGGGAAAAGAAAATGGTATGAAAACATTCCTAATGAGTCGCTCTTCCAAACAACTTCAAACAACAATGGGAGGGGGAGAAAGGGGGAAGGGAAAAAAGCTGGAGAGGGAAGCCATCTCTCCCAAAGCGCCACTGACAAATATTTGGTAAGAAAGAAGTAAGCAGAAACAGATGACTCTACACAGCATAGGAGCAGAAAAGCATGGCTCAGGGAACACAACTTCTCAGCCTTGTGATCAGTCCTGGCCCACAACAGACTCTATCCCCAAAAGACAGAATGCCACCATGTTAGCTGGCCTCCTCGAGGGGGACACGGTACCTCAGGAGCTGGAGTGTCTAGGGGCTCATTCTCTTCGCTGTCACTTGAACTGCTCTCACTCTCCGAGTCTGAGGAGCTGTCTGAGTCACTGGTGCTCTCTGACTCTGCACTACTGGAATGTGCTGATGCCACTGGTTCTGGAAGCGACTGTGGAGCACTGCAAAGCAACCGAAAGATAAAATTAGAAGACACCATGCAAGGTGGAATCCTTCCCCCTCCACCCGCTGCTGCCCATTTCTCTGCTCCTCGAAAGGAAGAGTTTCAAAATGACAAAATGACCTCCTATTACTACTACTGTTATCACCTGGTTGAGAGAGGGTCCTTTAGTAACCGACAGAACAGAGTAAAATCCTTCAAGCCTAAAACCTTAAAGAGATCCAGTTCAATAGACTGTTGGAAAGACAAGCCTGTGATCGTTTTTTCCTGAAAAACATATCAAGGACCACAGGGTTCAAGTGAAAGCCTGAGTATTTTATACCAAGAGCTCTTAAATGACACCCTGAGGAGGCTGCCTGAATTTCTAAGTAAAGTTTTACTGGAATACACAATGTATCATCTATGATTCTGTGCCACAACATTAAAGTTCTGGCAGGAGAAATCAGATGGCCAGTGATACCTAAAATATTTACTATTTGGCCCTTTTTAAAAAGGTTGGTTGGTCCCTGCTTTATACAACTGACAGAGCATTAATTGAGAGAAAAGCCAATCGGTTCAATTCTCCCTACATTCCTTCCATGACAATCAAAGGTCATTGACTCTGAATGTGAACTCAAAGACAAATATATATACTTCTTGGGTAGAATTATGAAATGAGTCTGTCCATTTTTGTAACGAAAAAACACTTAGGACATCTCGCAAAATTGGAGAAATAAAGGGGTCAGGCTGTTTTCAGTGCGGTCAAGTCAAGGGCAGCTAACAACAACAACAACAACAAAGATTAACTGCTGTAAGAATAGCAGGGAAATGATTGGTTGGTGAGAAAACAGCTTGGTAGACACACGCAGAATATTAGCGCATTATAAAACTGTATAATCCTAAACCTCACCCTAGATGGTAATAGCTAAAGTGTTCAATCATTAACTATAACTTTAAAAACCTCCACACTACTAAAATGTTTCACAAGAATTCATTCCTGGCGAGCTCTGGTGGCCTAGTGGCAAGAAGGTGTACTGCAATCCCAGAGGTGCACAGTTCAAATCCACCAGATGCTCTGCTGGAGGAGGAATAATCTCCTCCTGTACCCGTCAGATCCGATTTGGTGGTACACACACACAAAAAATAATAAAATTAAAAAAAAAATTTTTTAAAAGAATTCATTCCTTAATTGAGCTAATCATAAAAAAAACATATATCAATAGTGCTACATAATCTCCTCATAAATATCAACTTTGTGACTATGTCCACCCTGGTAGATAAAGGGCTTTAAGGCAGTGGTGGTCAGAATGGTAAAAAGTTTCAATGTTGCTCCTGTTTCTAAATTAGTCACAACTAATTTCCCCACACCCCACTTTTAAGTTAGGAAACTTGGAAGTTCTTTGTGAGTTACTCTAATTCGCCAGAAATCATTCAAGAATATAAATAACCAAGCAAATCTTTTCACTTAGCTGCATAACTGCCTGGAATTCCTCAAAAATCAATGAACATTATCACCTGCTGAATGGATGGTCTCATCTTAAGGCTAATCAACTCAACCCATTGTTGTCAAGTCAGAATTGACTCATTGCTGACCTTCCAATGGGTTTGCTGAGGCTGTAAATCACATGGAAAGAGACTGTTCATCTTTTCCCCATGGAATTCCTGGTGGATTTGAACCATCAGAGAAGGGTCACCTTTGGATTAGCAGTGCAACTCCCTATGGACTAAGCCACTAGCACAAACAGAGTAGTTTAACTCTGTATCCATGGAAGACTGGGATTTGGAGTACTAAATTACATTTTGGAAACGGGGTCTATTTGAACAGCAGGTAAAACAGCCCATTTGAATAGCTCTCATTTTCACATGTTAAAATACCACAATTTTGAAAATATGCCTTTTCCCAAGTGAAAACAGTGCCATTTTCTATCACATTAAAATGTACTGCAGGTCATTTTAAAAAGAAAGTTATTTGAAAAACTAAAATATTATTCTAGAATAATTCTGCTTTATAACCCCCCCCCCCAATTTAGCAAACAAGTGAAAAGGTTTATTAAGGTAATACAAGAGAGGCATGGCTTTGCTTTGCAATTTAAGGCATACTAAATCTGTCACCATCATCATCAACACTGGGATCTTTGGTTTGGTTTTTTAAAATATTGGTCATATAATACTAATAGAAAAAAAGATATATTGGCACAGGATTAACCACTAAGAATATAGGTTATGTTGTTTTTATTGTTTTTTTGTATCATAGTGTCGGAACCAACAACCAACCTATAGCTGACCCTCTGGTGGGTTTTCAGAGGCAGTTAATCGCATGGGAGGAGAATACCCATGCTTCTCCCATGGAGCAGCTAGTGGCATCGAACCATTTGCCTTTGGCATTGCAGCACAGGTTCTTGCCACTAGGCCACCAGAGCTCCCTAAGAATATAAGTAAGTTGAGGGATTCTTATCCTTTTATGAGGGTTAATAACTGCTCTGTGGCTGAAGTACTTGTATTAAACAAGTACTTTCCTTTAACTAGAATCCCTGAGTGGTACAAATAGCCACTAATTAAAAAGTAAATGGTTTGAATCCACCAAGAGGTATGTTTAAAGAAAGGCTTGCTAATCTATCTCCCAAAGGCCACAGCCCTTGAAAACGCCATGCACAGTTCTACTCTGAGACACTCAAGGTTTCCATAAGGCAGAAGCTACTTAGTGGTAACCGTTTATTTAATTTCCCTTTAACTGGGATCCTCCATCTCCTTTCTCATGAAAACCATGAAAGTACTAAATAACACTTCATTATCACCAACCCCCAGCTTCATTCTGTAGAAAACTGTAAACATTTTATATTGTTGCTAGGTGTCTCGGAGTCGACAATGACCCACAGCGGCCCTACAACAACAGACTGAAACCTTGCTCTATCCTGGGACATCCTGCCAATCCCTGGCGTGCTCAAGCCTATTACAGCCACTGTGCCAATCTGCTTGATGAGAGTCTTCCTCTTTTTCACTGACCCTCTGCTTTTCCAAACAACTACATTACAGAGAGAAGGGTGATATACGCACACAGTACCTTGGAAGGGCAGATGAGGAAGGAGGCTTCTCTGGGGCCTAGGCATTCACAATAGAAGAAGGATCAGAACAAAAAATAGGTTAGGATGAGGAGCTCGGATATGTTAAGACTCATTTCAAAAAATTCCTGGTAAAACAAGGTGCACAGAACTTACCTGTTCCCTGTCACTGCTCTCACTGTCACTGAGAAGAAGGTCATCTGCAAGCAAGCTGGAAAGGATAGGGCTTAAGTTAATGTCTGACACAGATTGTTTTATAAACAATAGGAAATCTGCCCGATGATACAATAGAGAGAAAAGTATTACCAACTATTTATTCATCAACAATTTTCTTAGAAATGTGCCCTTTCAGTCTTAAAACTCAATCTTGGAAAAATGATGAAAGTTATACAAGTGTTCAGGTCTCTTGTTCATATGTTTGCTATGAGTCATCTGCGACTTGACAGCATTTAAGAACAACAGCAAAACTTAGAAAGTGCTAAAAGTTGTGCCAGGCACATAGAAAGTGCTATGCAAAGAACAATACAACCCTGACATGTATCCTTCTTAATTTTAGACCATGTCATATTCCCTTGCTCTGTTTACATGACAGTCTATTGGTCTAGGTTTAGGCTTCACATGAGCACAGTTAAGTGTTCTGGGATTCCCATTCTTCTCAATGTTAGCCATAACTTGTTATGAACATGTACCAGACTAGCCTTTTCATAGTCAATAAAGTATAAATTGACATTCTTCTGGTATTCTTTGTTTTCAGCCCAGGTCCACCTGACATCAGTGATGAAATCCCTGGTGCCATGGCCTCTTCTAAACCCAACTGGAACTTCTGGCAGTTCCTTACTGCTCTAGCCATTTTTTAATGCTCTTCAACAGTATTTTGCTTGCATGTGATATTAATGATATTGTTTGATAATTTTCACATTCTGCTGGATCAACTTTGAGATGAGAACAAATACAGATCTCTTCCAGCCAGTCAGCCAGGTCCTCCAACTTTCCTTGCTATAGACTGATAATCAAACTGATAGCTACCTAGCGCATGCTCAATGTTTATCTTTATTGGTGGTGATGTGTGTCATTGAGTTCATTTTCATTCACAGTGACACAATATGAAAGCACAGAACTGGCCTGTGGAGTATTCTAGGGGGTGATCTTTCTTTACAAGATTGTATCTTCTAAAGGTCTCTTCTCCTGTGGTATGGCTAGTGGGTTCTAACCTCTGACCTTTTCCATTATTGTTTATCCACCGCATCACCAAGGCTTCCATAGTTATCGAACTGATGGTACATTCATATTTCTGCAATATTAGGAAACACAGCCAGCAGAAGCAGACTGAGTTACTAGCAATCACAATGGTGTACCAAAAAAATGCCACTTGGCTTGTTACAAGTAGTGGCCTGGCTGACCTACATGCAAACAAATAATGAAAGGTATATATTTAGAACAAATATAAGGCATAATCCAACCAGAAAGAAAATATGGCCAAAGATATTCAATACTAAACCAACAAAAACAAAACCACAGTAAATGGGCCTCTATTTCTGAGTCACTGAGTTTGCTGTGTATAACTGATGTGCCTTAATTTCCTGTAACACCAATGATCATGTAATCCAAACATGATTCCTGTGGCAGGGAGAAGAATAGATATCCTGTGGACTTGTTCATCTAGGAACTGAGTAACTACCTTCCGTAAATGTATTCTCCTAAAAGAGGGCAAAAACCACATTAATGTCCTAACTCTTAAATCTACCTGCTATTAAGAAATAATAGGTATTTTGAAAACACTGTCCCTGATTCAGGACATCACGGAGACAGCTGCTGATGTAAAAACCCTACTCAGGATCTAGAGTTAAGACACAGTGGTCTCTGAAGGGGGATTGCTAAAGTTCTAAATTTACCTTAATGTTATGTCAACTTGTTTTCAGTTTAACAGGAGTGAATCAACCCTCTATTTGCAACAAACTGCTCATCACAATGGTGCATGTGCAATTTAAAATATAAACAAATCACTGAAAATGCTTCTAGCCTTTTCTTATACTAGAGCTGCTGTTATGGTCTGTCAAGTTGGAACCGACTCATAGCTGACCCTCCAAAGGTTTTTCAGAGGCTGTTTCTCACACAGGAAGTGATTGGCCATCTTTCTCCTGGGGAGCAGGATTTTAATTGCCTGCCTTTAAGCTGGCAGAACACCCTTCCACTGTAGCATGAGAGCTCTCGTCTTGCACTAAGGTAAGGCTGAAGAAGAGCCATGTGTACCTTTTCAAATTAACCTGGACTTGAAGACAGAGAAATGAATCTCATAACCCAAAGATTGTCTGCACTTTCAAAGAAACACTCAAAATGAAATGATGAATTGATCACCTTGATAGGGCCAAACAGTATATACCACTTAGTGTACACAAGGGACTTTACAAGGAACCCTGATGACATTTAAGCACAATGTACTGGGCTGTGAACACAAGTCACTCCTCCACAATCTCTCTCTAGTAGATTTGCAGTGTCAGAAGCAGTGGAGGAGAGCAATGAGTCAGAACGAATGTGATAGCAGCAGACTTAATATTTTATTTTAGTTTAGGGACTTTACAAATGTTACTTTATTTCCTAAAAATTTGTAAGTAGAATTCATTTGATTAGAAACAGACCATTGTCACATGTGAATCATGAGACATAGGTATATTGTCAACTAACCTTGTCAAAAGCAAGCACAGAAACCTAGAAACCATGGTTGTTAGACTGTTAGAAATGAGCGAGTCAACTTTAAATCAGAGTGTTAGTAGTGGAAAGTTAGGGAAGGGAGCTTTTGAAAATGTTTTATATTGAACTCATGTCACAGCTACAACATGGGGGGAAATGACTTAAAAACAGTAACAAGTTTGGTCAGTATTAAAATCACTAATGTCACTATAATTTTTTTTAAAAAAATCAGTCTGGTTGATGAGAGGTTAATGTTTTTCTAAGGAAAAACTATGAAGGAATCAACCAAAGTCACCTTCTTGTCTCAAAAAACAATTATATTTGTGGACAAACAAAACAACGATCTTGTTGGAGCAAAATTAATATACCGTTTTCCCTTAAGAAAAGAAGCTATCTTTAGAACATATACTCTTTAGACTGGTCAGGTAACTAATTCAATCTCTGAACTCTAAAGCAGAGAGTCTTTTCAAAGCCTATGCCACCATCTGCCTTAATTTGGCCCTGTTCAAAAGAGCCTCAATGCTTGGATAGAGCCACTCTTTGAACTACCTTGTAGGTTTAACCACATTTTACATTATTGGTAGGTAAACTTTTTACTTAAAGGTGAAAACAATCCTCAGAACCCTTCGTGCTAATGCATTCTTCAGGTGGCTGTCATGGCCAAGTTCAAAGAGTCCTGGGCAGGTTCCGGCAGGCACTCTCTGGTGAGTCAGTCCCACTGCTCCTGTGTGAAGATACCACTAAGTCAAGCCTTTGTTTCTTTTCTGGTCCTTGGCTCTGGGCTTTCATTGTCAGTATTCTAGAACATCTCAATTCTGACCCAAGGGCTATTTAAATAAGCTTATTTCTTGACTGACTTAGCATTTCTCAGGCCATATACTTCAACCTGGAAAAGTGAAGGCTGAGACATGGATTTCTCTGCAGTCAGTAAATGATTTTAGGTGTGTGTAAAATATATGGAAAGTAGTACTTCTGAGAAACTGCCAATGAGGCTGAGAGAACGAATACATTTACACAATATCACATATGTAAAAATAATTTGGAGATAGAGTGCAGCGAGGAGAAAGAGGTCAGCTCAGAAGGAGATTAAAAAAAAATCTCATAATTTATATTCCAGTGAGGTTTTGGATCTTTTTAAAATACAATAAAGGATAGAAATAAAAACGGGAAATGTCTTATAGATGATATAATGTAATTAATTGTGAAAAGCATGCCACTCCGAAAAATGCACAATGTGAAGAGCATGCAGAATGAAAAATATCTTCTGCAACTTCAGCAAACTCTCTAAATGATAGTGATAATGAGAAGGTGGACCTCAAATTCACAGAAAGATACTCTTACCAATTAATAATCTTTTAATCTGTATGATTTAATACAGTAGATTGGCATCTTTAAGGCCCTGGGTTAGATGGACTGACACAGTGACTTTAACAATGGACTTGGGTATAGAGAGGTTGTTAGGATGGTACCAGATAGGGCAAGGTTTTGACATGTCATTTAGAAGATTGCTATGACTGTAGTAAACTTGGTGGCACCTAGCAACAATATGATCAATGTGCCAGAGGGATAAAAAACTATTTAAACTCAAGGATAAGATGAAGAATATTTGACATCAAGTAACAAAATGAGACAAGTCACAAGATTCTGAGCAAAGGAAATTCAAAGTTCATAAATAAAGTAAAATCACTAAGTCTAATGAACAAAAACAACACATTATAAGACTAGAACCAAATTTAAAAGCATTACTCTAAATCATGTGTCTAATGAATTTTGCTCAGAGGTAATCAAATCTTATATGCACTATTACTTTTCTCCTTCATCAGTCTCTGCACCTTTGCATGCCAGGCACTGCTACAGATCATCTGGCTACAGATGGAAACAATAGAAATTCCTGCTCTTATGTCACTTATAACCTCAAACTAGAAAAGACCTGGAAAAAGAGACTTTCTCAAAAGTATAGTAACAGCTCTGGAAGTGAGGAAAAGGCTAAAAGAGAAAGTGCACAGGACAGGCATGGGTGGTTGTTTTCCTAAGGAAATAAGGAAAGACTATACACCTGACCAGAGGCCTGGAAGCAGAGAAAGGGATCTGAGCAGAGAAAGGGGGGAGCAGAGAAAGGATCAGGATGACTGAGTACTTGTGTGTGGAGGCTGGAGGGTGGCACAGCAGGAGAGAGACATAGAAGGTGAAGAACAGGGTGACAAGGGTCACGGTAGTCTTGTAGGGTCAGGCAGAAAGGCAGAATCTTTAGGAAAAACACTAGTTTCTTGTTAAAGAGTGTAGCCAGCCTAGGTGGGTGAAATGTGCAAACCGCTGTTAAGAGTAATACACATTCAATGAATTAAAATGATACCTCACCTAGTCTTTCAAGCCATATTAAAATTAGTCAAGAATGGACCCATTATGGTAAATTGCTAATTATGATTTAAAATGAGGCTTAAATGACTCCATGATGGGTTGAAATGCCATCACAGCCTGCAGGATCATCTATCAAGCCCAGATAAAGGTGGCAGTATTCCTGCCTCATAACTCCTAACT